TTTTTATGTGTTTTTTGGACTAGATAGGGACACGGATTGGAACGGAATTATGGTTCAGCAATGGTGAGACGGAGAACAGTGATATGGTTAGACCAAGGAGGGGAAGCGAGTAGAAAATACAATTTCCACCCACGGGTACGCGGCGAAGCAATATATCTAGGGACAATTACCCTTATCGTGATAACATGGATAGCAGACTTCTCGAGGCAGAAGCTATGAGATGGGGCCGAAAGGTAGAGAGCCGCCCGGCGGTCCATGGACGATGCAGTCGTGCTGAGAGGAACACGAGGCGGGCCGGTTACTCGCGTGTTATTATTGACAGCCGTGTTTCCTAGTCAATGTTCGCCGTAACCTGCTGTGTGTGTGGGCGCCAGAAACGCTGATGAATGAGTGGATTCAGCGCGGGTGGCGGGCGGCGTGGGGGTGCCCGTCCGCAGGCGCGGGGCGGCGGGGCGGGTCGAAAAGTGGGGACGGCCTCGGGGGCGGGGCCGGGGCGGGGGGGGTCGGTGTGGGGGGGGCGGCTCGGCGGGTGGGCCAGCCGGCGGGGGCCGGGGGGTACTGTCGGGGGGGGGTTCTGGAGGGCGTGGGGGGGGCGCAGATGGGCGGGGGGGGGGGCCCTGGGCGCCTGGGCGCGCGGCGCGCGGCCGGGGAGGGCGCAATGAAGACGAAGAAAGAAGCGGCTGAATGTGTGGAGAAGCGAGAAAGAAAGTGAGCGAGATAGCAGAAGAGAGAGGAGCAGGGATGAGAGAGGGGAGAGAATTGAGCTAGTTAGAGGAGATAAGAGAGAGAGCAAGAGACAGCGACAGAGTTGGGCCGCCCAACTCGAACAAAAAGACGCGCGCCGAAGACGAAATAAGAACAGAGACAGAGAAATTGAGAGTAGAGAGAGAGAGAGAGAGGAGATGAGAGAGAGAGAATAGAGAGAGAGAGAGAGAGAGAGAGCGAGAGAGAGAGGAGAGAGACAGAGACACGAGACAGAAAGAGAGAGGAGAGAGATGAAGAGAGAGAGAAATGAGAGGAGCCCCGAGAGAGAGAGAGACCTAGACAACGGCGATGAGAGAGACGAGAGAGGGATGGAAGAGAGATGAGAGGAGCAGACAAGAAGAGAGAGAAGACAGAGAGAGAGAGATAGAGTAGAGAGAGAGGCAGACAGAGAGAGAGAGAGAGAGAGCGCACAGACGACTGAGCAGAGAGAGAGAGAGAGAGAGAGAGAAGGATGAGAGAGGCCGACGAGAGCTGAGAGACAGAAAGACGAGAGGAGGAAAGAGAGAGAGAAAGAAGAAAGAGAGAGAAAGAGAAGAGAGAGAGAGAGAGAGGGAGGCGAGAGAGAGAGAGAGGGAGAGAGAGAGAGGTGAGAGAGAGGGATAAGTGCGAGAGAGAAAAGCGAAAGAGAACACAGAGAGAAAGAGAGAGAAAGGCGTGGAGAGAGAGGAGTGAGAGAGAAAGAGCGGAAGGGAAAAGAGAGAGAAACGAGAGAAAGAGCGAGAAATCGAGAGAGAAGCGCGAGAGAAGAGAGACAGAGACGAGGACGAGAGAAGCGTAACACAATCCCACTCATTATTCTCTCTTTCAGCGTCACTACATTCACTTCTTGTCTCTCGTCCTTCTCCCCCCCCCTCTAGTCTCGCTATCTCGATCGTTTCTCTTGAGTGCACGCGCCGGGCTCTTCTCCCTCGCATCTTTCTGCAGCTGCTATGATCATAGAGTGGTTGCTATATTATTTGCTTTTGGCTTGCCGCGAGCCGATGCGACTTGTTTACATTACTCATCAGGCAGGCCGAACGCAGATCGAGTCCGCCCCGTGCTCGCCTGCTGGACGACAAGCCACCCTCTCGTCCATTATCCATCGTCTTCCCCCTCACACAGACACCAGCGACATCACGCCGCACCGACGAGACGCGAGCAGAGAAGAGAGAGAGATAGAGAGAGAGAGAGAGAGGAGAAAGAGAGATGAGAAAGAGAGAGATGGGAGAGATAGATAGATTAGAGAGTAAAGGAGATGAGCGAGAGAGAGAGAGAGAGAGAGAGAGAGAAGGGGAAATAGAGAAGAGAGAGAGCGCGCGCGAAGGAGAGAGAGAGCGAGAGAGAACGAGAGAAAGAGAGGACGAAAAGAAGGAAGAAAGAGAGATGAGAAAGAAAGAGAGAGAGAGAGAGAGAAAGAGAGAAAAAGAGAGAGGAAATAGAGAGAGAGAGAGAGAGAGAGAAGATAGATAGAGAGGGAGAGATAGATTAGAGAGAGAAGAGAAGAGAGAGAGAGACGAGAGAGAGAGTAGAGACAGAGAGAGAGAGAGAGAGAGAGAGAGAGAGAGCGAGAAAAAGAGAGAGTAGAGAGAAGAGAGAAATGTGAGAGACAAGAAAGAGAGAGAGAGAGAGAGAGAGACAGAGAAGATAGAGAGAGAGATAGAGGGGAGATACTGAGAAAGGAGAGTGAAAACGAGAAGGAGTAGAGGTGGAGAGGAGGGAGTGAAGAGATGAGAGAGAGACAGAGAGAGAAAGAGAGAGAGACGAGAAGGAGAGAGAGAGCGAGAGAGAGAGAAGAGAGAGAGGAGAGAGAGAGAGAGGCGACTATATCTTATGCTATATGTGATGCCGACCGGAGTGCGCCGCGATATACCGACACGCGGGGTAAAAATGTGCTCGCTTAAATAATTGATTCGATTCGAAGGCGAGTCTCTTCTTTACGACTCTGTCAGCCGAGATTTAGCTCTTATTCCCCCAGTTATTGTCACTGCTAGCGAGAAAGTGCATCTCATGTGTAAGTTATACGATCACTTTGGCTGAAATAAGCTGTCATGTTAGATAAATCCAAGCACACTATACGACCAAGATATATACGTATAGAAGTGGAGGTAGCGATAGAGGTAGAGATAGAGGTAGAGGTAGAGGTAGAGGTAGAGGTAGAGGTAGAAGTAGAGGTAGAGGTAGAGGTAGAGGTAGAGGTAGAGGTAGAGATAGAAATGAAAGTAGAGGTAGTGAGAGAAGTAGAGGTAGTGAGAGAGGTAGAGGTAGTGAGAGAAGTAGAGGTAGTGAGAGAGTAGAGGTAGCGAGAGAGGTAGAGGTAGTGAGAGA